CCGCAAAGGCATGCTCGTTGGAGCCGAAGCATGGTCGACAGATTCTCCACAATTCAACACGCAAGAAACGAACAAACTGCGTGGAATGAGCATTCGTTGCTTACATGGCCCCACCAAAACAGCATCAACAAGATAATCCCATGGATGCTCAAACAAGACAACACGCAGGCATCCACCTCCCGTAACTATATCATCCCCCCCTTCTTGTTGTGCTCCGCAAGCCGCTGAAGCTGTCTCTCGCACTCTAGGAGTAGCTGCCGCAGCCGCCCCCTCTCTATTCCGCGTCTCTCTTCGATGTTAGCGTCATCGCCATCACCACCGTTAGCATCATCATCATCATCATCATCACTCGACAACTGCAGCATACGTGTCAGCTCCACCTGCAGCGCCACCTCTCGCTTAAGCGCAGTGACTTCACGCTGCCGCAGCGCCGCATCCCGCTCGAGTGCCTCAATGTGCCGAACCAGAACCGGCACAACGTGCTGCAGCAGCGCCTCCTTCTGCCGCCTCTCCTCCCGCAGCACGTGGGAAAGCTGGTCAATAATGAAGAGGAGGCGGTGACGCTCGTCACCCGCGTATGACTGCGCGAAGGAGTACGACGGGGTAGTGTCGCAGCTGTCGTCCCCCCGCCGTGCCGTGCCGTCCGTGATGTCGACAAGCAGATGCTGCACGCCGGGGTCCGCAACGCGTGATGCTATACGCGTGCGGCACGGCGCCCCCCCAGCCTCTCCTTCCCCCTCCGCTCCGTCACCATCGCTGTTGCCGCCTCGCGCCGTGTGGCGTCGGCCCTCACATGTTGAACTGCGCTGCCGCGGGGCAATGGTGCTGCCCGGAGAGCTCAACGGATACTGAGGGATTTGGCAACTCACTCCCACTTCTTCTGCTGTATTCAGAGTGCAGCCCGAGACATCCTCGCCTTCTGCCGTCAAGCACGATGATTCATAATGCGGCGGCTGCGGCGAAGGACTTGCGCCTTCTTCAACGGACACATTTCTATCCCCCCACTGCTCGACTTCCTCTTCTTCCTGCTGCTGCTGCAACGGACGCCGCCGCCGCCGCCGCCACTCCGCTCGCTGGTGCAGCTCACGCGCCTGCTGCTGCAGCCGCCGCTCGCGGAATAACTCTTCCTCGAGCCCGGCAAAGCGCCGCTGCATTTCCTCAATGCTGACGCACTCATTAGATGAGGTGCCATTACCGGTGCCCATGCTGCTGCTGCCGCCGCCGTTGGCATCCGCCCGTCGCGCATCGGCAATGAGGCGCTGCAGCTGCAGTAGCGATTCCTCCACACTTTCCATCACACAAGTCTGTGAGTGAGAAAGAGGACGTGTACCTGGTACGTGCACGTGTACGCGTGTGTGTGTGTGTGTGTGTGTGGCTGTGCCCTCTCCCTTCCCCTCCCCCTCTGTCCCTCGCCAACAGGGAAAGACAGGGCGCTGTCCATGAGATATGTGGGTGGACACATATAGGAGAACCAGGAGTAAAGAAAACCAAAAAAGAACAAAAAAGAAGTGAATGTTTACGTGGAGATTTGTACAAATGCAGCTACAATATGTGTATGCGTGTGTTCAGCCGCAGCTGCCGCACAGGACTTTAAATTCCGTCGTTATCCCACCCACACACCCCTGCTTCGCCACTATCTGTTTGTTAAAGGAGGAGTGAATAGTGGTAAAAAGTAGTAGTAGTAGTAGTAGTCGAAGAGCTGGTGGTGGCGGTTTTTCTTCATATCTCTTTCTTTCTTTCTTTCTTTCCTTCTCTCCCATTTCTTCTTTTCCTTTTCCTTTTTTTTTAAACGCTTTTTCGCATACGTTGCAGCGAACAGACTGCACTTA